TCATTTACAAACTTGTCTAGCCAAGCAGAGGGTATAAAGTATTCGCAGAAATTGTTCTGAAATAATGTACTGAAAGCAATATCTCAAGTCTGTTTCAACTTTCATCAAAACTTCCGCAACTCGATTTCGTACTTCTGGGGTTGTGACGTTCATCTAGTACCAGTAGCCCTGGACTTTCTCGCAAAACTTTAGCCATGTATTTTCTGTGAGCAAACTTCGCATCTTCTCTCATTAATGTTAGAAATGAAGTGTAACCCATGACAAGAACACTGGGTTCAGCATGCCACTTATGTATTTTCTCAAGGCAATCCAACACATGCATAACATCTTGACTAGGTCTTGGAACTCCTTGAAACTTCACTGTCTTTTGCTTAATTATTCTGTAACTTCTACGACCATGGATCAAATGAACTGGTATAGGAATCTTCCACTTAATAAACTCCTTGTGCCATGTATAGAGAGTTGTTTTTGGAGCAAGAACCAAAGGTCTCTTTCCTGGGAATAACTTCAAGTAGCTAACAAGGAAAGCAATGATGAGAAATGTTTTTCCAGCTCCAGGAGAATGGGAAACAACACAACCACCTATATTATCTGATTTTGATTCCATTTGTGCTGGCACCAAATCCCCAGCAATATTTCTCCACAGAAATTCATAAGCCCTCTTTTGATGGAGGTGTAATTTATTCCTAAGTTCAGGGATCAAGGCCCACACGTTATCATTTTCCTCTGTTAAGAGCCTTTCATGGGAAGTATGATTTCCAACAAGATTCAACTCTCGCCCTGCATAAGTCATATTCTTGTTATCTTCTTCATTTTCCCACCTATTTTCTGCAACATAGCTCCTGAATTCCATCTAGATAAACAAAATGGACAAGAGTCAGATATGTCTGAAGTAATTCAATTAGATCTGAAATGTCTAGTTGGCAAAGTGGAATATAAATGAATTATTAGCAAAAATTAAATGGTCCCAACTATGAGATTGAAGTCACAGATATGACCGAATTGAAAGTTTGCAGTGATTGGATAAATGTGTGAATAATCAATCACCTTCTCCCTCCCACTGCCGCCACCCCAGGGGTGGAGAGGAAGAAGAAAGAGGCATAAAAGCAATGTTGAAATGAAAAAAGCCTTCAAAGAAACAGAAATAAATATTTTCTCTCTCGACAATCATGAAGGCCAGCATTAATTCATAAATTGTCCAAATCCTACAGCTTAAAAATGCTTTTCTGCTCTGCCTAGGTGCCTATTCAGAAAATGTTGCAAAAAATTGCTATATGATATCCATGGTCTAACTGGAAGAAAATATGGGAAAGTGAAATATTTAACACAAAATCATCAAAGAAAATAACTTATCACTCATATAATTTCAAGTTTTACTTACAAAAGGTGCTGTCATATATTTTATCTCAGTGCTGATAAAGCCACAGAGAAAGCAACACATCCCAATTTCTTCATTCAATCTGTAACTGTGTTGACAAACTTCAGTGGTCTTTTGAATATTTTCATAACTAACTCGCACCTGAAAATCACTAAATTAAATTAAAGGGAAGGTAACAATGACATCGAGAACATTGAATTTTGTAATCTATGGAACTACATAAATAGATCTGCCTGCCTCATGGAGAGAGAAAAAAAGAAAAGTGGCATCAAGAGAGTCTTGTGCATTAATGAATCATATCTTGGTAAAATATTAGAGATCCATACCTCATTATCCTCGAGAAAATAAGCTGAAGCCATGGACAGTTCCATTTCTCGCCACAACATTTCATTTTCTGAGGATTCTCCTTCATCCTCACTTGAGGATTGTTCTATTTCCATCCTTTGTTCTGGGAAGCTTGCTTTCTTAAACTCCTGCCATTGGTCAATAATATGTGGCTCTTCTTTTATCATTGTAGAATCAATGTTCTTCATATATGAATGTATCAGTTTATCATATGCACCGGCACTTAAAGACTTTTTCTTATAAGTTATTGGTTCATCAAAGTCCTCCTTTGAAGATATGCCTCGATGCTTTCTAATTTGGGCCTTTCTATTAGAACCCTTCCCCTGTATTCCCTCCCATCTAGGGACTAAATCCATATCATCTATCTGAGAGAATTTCTTTCTCGAACTGGTTCTGGAACATTTCAGACTATTGTATCTGAAAGAAAGTTCTTCCACCCGTTTTGAATTATTTGCAGAGAGGTTGGCATGATAGTCATGGTGCTCACTGGCCAAAGGTTCAGGTTCGAGCTCGGGTACATTGGGCACAGGAATAATAGCAAGTTTGTTTTGATGTTCCACTTGATCAGCTAGACCTGATTTTACATCCTTTGAGTATTTATTGCTCTTGTACACGACAAGATCTCTAGTTTCATTCTTAGGTTGCTCTTTTAAATAAAGTGGTTGCATTTTAAACAAGCGAGATAGTGGCAGACATTTCATCTTCTCTTTCCATTTGTCAGTCTTGATTGGCATTTGTCGGACCCAGACACTATCTGACTCTGTAAGTCCTTGACCACCAATGAAACGTTCAGGTTGTACATTTCGCCGCTTAGAGCGCCGCAACTCCCACCACCCCCCATTGATGAACATGGTCTAGGTTCACCAGAAGCACGGCATTCCTGAATGCTATCAGCTGGAGTAAATTGGAACAGATTGGACACTGAAAGACCATTATCTTCTCTGAAACTTACAGCACTTATATAATTATTAGATTTTGATGGGCTCCCATCATCATCGGCCAAAATTTGATAGACTATCTTGTATTGTTCAGTTCTTACCTCAAATGCAACCTGCTTTAGGACTGATGCAACAAGTAACCATGATAGATCCGAAGAAAATTTTCCCAAAAATAATTTAGTTCTTGATAAGGAAGAGCAGTCCTCTGAGAGACTCCATCTATAATATTGACCTTCACAAGGATGTTTTTCAAGCCTTTGGAGTATAAGAATTTGATCAATTCCTAATACTTTGGTATCTTTATCAAGTTCTAGTTTCTCAGAACCTAGAGGACCTTGGTTAACATACAAGTTAACATAAAATTGGCATGAACATTGAGATTCATGCGGCTTCCTCTCAATCGATCTTATTTTAGCATCAATTAACACCTACATTAAAAGAATATCTGGGGATCAAACTAAAATAGGGAAATCATAAACGTTTATCTGCTGGTTTACCAAAGACATATGTCTAAAGAATCTAAGAAACATGAGCTTCTTCTTTAGATTTAAAAAAAAAAAAGTGGAAGAAAAGAAGAAGTCTAGAATTGAAAAACACTCCAATACTAAAATATTGAAGAAGTGAGATCAAACTCAGAGCATGCTTATACATATGATATTAATCTTTTCCAAAAAAAATATCAAGTGTAAAAGAATAAAATGAATACATATCATCGTACAAACCAATGAACTTAAACATTGAAATGAAAGCAGTTTGACTTTATACTCTAATTTAAAAAAAATATATAGTATGTACAATTGATTAACAGACAATAAGAGGATATCAGCTCGTGTATATATTATTTACATATCAACTAAGATGTCAAGAAGATGCTCTAAATCCCCCCATTAAATAGAGAAAATAACCCAAAACTAAGAAACCAAAGTCTGGAATCATCTATTCCTAACCTTATCAAGAACTTCATCTTCCCCATCAAAAGTTCTCATATTTCTCTCTTTCCATACCACCAAAGACTACATACTCTAATTACACATAGAAGAATGAAATTTCTTAAATTACAATGCATATAATAATTTAGCCTGAAGGAAAGGTAACTTACAAGCTCCAGATTTGCTTCATCTGAACTTGCCAAATCTTTAGATGGTATAAGGACACAAACATCAATTCCAGGTCTCAAAAAGCAAGTGCAGTCAGTTAAATTTGCTTGCCTTGACCTGACTCGGAGTTCGGAGAAGGGACGCTTCCTCTTAATCACATGTCGACCATCTACAAAACGTAAAGACATAGTTCCATCTTCAATTCTTATGCAGTCCACCATCCGCCATGAGCCCCGGGAGAAGGCCTCAAAAGCTGTCAAACATAAATTCAAGTAATGTAAATATTAAGTCTTTGAAAAGAATGTCACTCGCTGTGTAACAAACACTTTACAAGTTTAGCATTCATACTAAAACGATATTTCTTAGCTGAGCTTTTACAGCTAATAAAATAATCTATACTCAGACTAGCTATTATTACTTTAGCTTACCACTCATTTGATATATATATATATATATATATATATATATATATATCAGCTAATGATAGAACTTGAGTATTTTGTCTAAAATACTATGTGAACCCAATATATAGTGCATCAGTGACAATGTGAAACAGGTTATTTCAACTAGGGACTTCTCTAGATTATAACAAGTTTGTAATATCCCTTAGATGTATCAATTTAGTGAGGTTGACAGATAATATATAGGGGCTTGATCATTATTCACATACTTCAGACACAACAAAAATTAAAAGATTAGAAGGAGGAAAAACTTACGATGCAATCCGAAGGGATGTCTTGACTCGTATAGACGTCGTTTCCTCATTGTTGATCAGGCAATAAGCATGAATCTGCCCGGTACTATGACCAATGGACAGTTTATGGACAGTTAGGCACATTTTATCCTCCAATAAACACGAAATAAAGATAATCTAGTATTCAAAGGTCTTTTTATCACAAATTGCTCCTTTTTCCACCTCTCTTTTTCTTAGCCACTAATCCCCAAACATGATCAAGAAATGAAATGACAACGTAAATTAGTTAATTACCAATAATGGAAACTATAACCTAACATGAAAGCATAGATGCAAAAGTTTTTCTTTCATTTCCTGATTGTACTTCCAACTACCTTTTAAAGGCGTTTCTTTGAAAGGAAAAATGTGAACAGAAGGAGTTGTAAAGCCTCCTTGTAGCCCATATATAACATCTCAAGATAACCTTAAGCATGTATAGACAAACATACAGACCCACACTCTTTTCCCTGAAAGAAACCACCATGACCCAATAGCCATGGAAGCTTTCCTTAAAACTGTTTCGACGCCCACTGAGATTCTTGTATCTTTCCAGTTATTTATTTGAAACTGTGATATTATTACTCCGTTTTAGCTCCACAGGACACTGTAATCCTCACATTAGCCAAAAAGAGTTGAAAAGAAAAATAAAAAATCTTAGCCATAGAAGGGTTGAGTTGGAAGCAGATTGCCACATGTGCAACCACCCCGTCAAAATGATGGAAGCAAATTCTACTTGGAAAGGAAAAATATAGCATGTGACTCGAGAAAACTTTTAGACGAAAGCCTAAACAGAGAAGAATGATCAGACGAAGAAAATCTATCAAACAGCAAAGAACACAACATTTTAAATTCTAAATAATGGAATACATTGGCAAATACAAGCTTCAAGTCAGCATCAGTCCACAGTATTATCAAAACGAAATCAAACAGAAAGAGTCGAGATTCTTCAAACAAAACCCCCTAAACGATCAAAATGCAGAAAAAAAATAAACAAAAGGAAATCCGAGCTCAAGCAAAAGTTTTACCTCAAAAAAGCTTCTGCCTATTTGATCAAAGCGAAAACAAAATGTAATACCCCACCAAGATTCTCCGAAAAAAAACCCATTAAATGATCAAAATGCAGAGAGAAAAAGAGAGGCAATCGGAGCTTAAGAGAAGTTTTTACCCCAAACCAGCTTCTGACTATTTTGATCAAAACGAAACCAAAATGCAACCGATCACCAAGATTCTCCAAACAAACCCAGCAAAAATCCAGAGCTTCTAGGTAGCCGATCAAACTCGGGGTCCGTCGGGATAGAGCCTCGACAACAAAGAATCAAGCAGAGATGATGCTTGAAAATGCAATCCACAGAGAAAAAAGAAAGAAAGAGAATTTAATGGAACGCAGCAGAGCAGTGAGTAAATTTACTGAGAGGAGTTAGCGAGTGATGTGAAATGAGAGAAGAAAAGGCGAAGAATTAGAAAACGACACATGAAAAGCGCAGAATTCAATATCAATGTCTGCTGAGGATCTCGAGGTCTGTGCATAATTTTTTTTTTTTTTTTGGTTGCATGAGTTAAATGGGGGAGTGCTGAGCCAGAGGGTCGTTGAGACGTGAGAGTTTTGCACTAAATGGCAAGACGTGTAAATACGAGTAGCCGATGAGGGTATAATGGGGATTAGGAAGGTATGATGGATCAACGGCTATGATTGATCTTGAAGCGGAAAGTGGTTCCCACGTGAAAGTTAAGATTTAGGAGTCTGATTTTATGGAAGTGGGGTCCATCAAGTAAACTACCCCTCAGCCTTTCTTTGGTTGGCCAGAAAGTCAAACATTTTCTCACTTGTGTTTTGTGCCCACCTAGCAGTGCTCAATTTTTTTTTTTGCTTAGTTTTTAAATTAGAAACTTAAGTTAAATTAATGACTAAATATGGTAATTAATGATTTACAAAATTAAATATCAATAAATAATAAATAAGATTACATTATGAGAATTTATATTGCATTTAGTTAAGTTCATTCTATTTTATCTTAGTTTTCAAGTCCTAATTATTTGATCCGTAAAAGTTAATTACATTTAATGCATGATCAAATAATTATACCCTTTATCATAATTATTTGTATTCTTATTTATCAAATGATTAATTATAAAAACATTTAACTTGAAATTAAAAGGTTATTTTCCTTTTGAATTTTTCCCTATTTAATATAATTTAATGTTTCAACCTTGGTGTAAAAGATTTTAGATTTCAGTATTATGTAAATTTTTTTATAAAAAAAAAATTGCGAATTACATACCTAAAATTTGTTTAAAAAAATAAAGATCCTAAACTTTTTTAAAAATTAGAAAATAATAAATTCCACTTTATCCTTGTTTTCAAATAATAATTTAAATTTATTATATTAAAATCCAATATAGTTATTTAACAAATATCAAATAAATGTTAGATATTATATTGAGTATAACCTATATAATAAGAAGAATGATAATGTGAAGTAATTTTTGTTTGAGAATATATATATATATATATATATATATATATATAACTATGATTTATTCAATTTAAATTGTGAAAAATAATTTATTTTCTATAATTTTTTTTATAGTCACATTATTAGCGACCACCTACTTATTGGAGTTGGACTTGTTAATATTATAAAAAGCATGTGTATAAAAAGAAAAAGAAACTAGACTAAAAGAAAAATTCATGTCGCTACCATAGTAACAACATGTATAAGAGCCAAAATAAGAATAAAACTTTTCATCACATTAGGTAATCATACATGAAGAAAAAATTGACAGATGAAACAACTTTTCACTGATATGAAAAATACATAAAGTATCGAATAGAAGACGAATCTCATTATTATAAATCAAGTTATTGAATATTTCAAACAAATTTTAAAATTCAAAACTATCTGTTATTGAATATTTATCTACAATTTTTAATAATAATAAATTATTCTCAATTTTTTATGCTAAAATTGTAATTAATATTTTAATAATCAATCTCATTATTTTAATAACTCTATATTTAAACTTTGGTCTATAGTTTACAAACTTATGGTATCAATCGAGTCATTAGCAAGCTCAATTAGAAATGATTAATGGACATGGAAGGGTATACTTGGGTGAAAAAATATGTGGATTTTATTTCGCCTATTTTTTTATAAATATTTTAAATAAAAAATAATAAAGAAACTTTTAAAAGAATTGACGATATAGAGAATTTTAAAAAAATAAAAAGCAGATGATTTTAAACTTTTAATTTTATAATTTTATGTTATTTTTTTAACTCTGTAGAAGCTTAATACCATTTTTCAATATTTGTATATAAGTTAATATCTCTTCTATATTTATTAGTATAATTTTATATTTTCTATTTAAACAGACTTTTCTAAATTTTCTTTTAAAAATTACTTTCTCGTAACATATTATATTATTAATACTTATATATCAAAAAATTAACAAATACATAAATTTTTATGTCTTTATATCAATAGTTTAATCTCCGTCCATATCTTTAATCACGGATGCATTTAAATTTCTACTCACAAAACAAAATGATAAATATAAAGATTGTTATTTATATAATAATCTTTACAAATTATATTCCAAGTACTTCACCAGCATAATCCCGACTGATCCTTAATAAATAGGTATAATAGCCACAGCTACAACAAGAAAGGTTATAAAAAGAATGGAGAGAGCAACTCAAAAAGAGTCAAATTAAACTAAAACTTCAATTAAATTTACAAAACCTCTAAAGACGCACTCAACTCTCCATGTCTATATACAAAAAAGAATTTTATATGAAAAACTTTTTCACTCAAATGGGTAGCCATAAAACTTAGCAAACCCCTTTTCCATTGATAAAAAGAGAAAATGTCATGGCTAAATTCTCCATTCTAAAAAACCACTGAGATTTAGCACATCCACAACTCAAGTCCCCTTTGAATCAACACCTCAGGGACCAGCATGACTGTATTCAAAACTAGAAGGAAGAAATAAAAACTTCAATCCACCAACATTCTAGCTTTTGCTACTTGATGCTACGCAATTCCCTATGTTCCATCTCCTCAAAAGTCTAAATCTTCCAATCCTATATCCATATCCATAAATCCTTGACCGTCCAACTCAATATTGTTATCCCCGTGCTCTTGTGCTTGCAAGAGAGCAAGACCATAATCAACAGTTGAAGGCAACTGCTCCATATGATGGAGACTACCAAGCAACTTAGCGTCCGGGTTCTGCAGTTGGTATGCTAAAGCTGATGATTTCTCACTCTGCAAACGGCTATCTGTTATCCCTACTTGAACTGGAGGATAGTCAAATTCTTGCTTCAATCCTGTGCCAACAAGAGGATCGTTGTCTATAGCACCTAAAAGGTCATCCACATCAAACATTTCATCCATTGAAAATGTCTGCCAGTAATCCTGTGACTCGTCCTCCTTCCCTTCTGATTTAACATCTTTGGAATAATCAACTGCTTCTCCTTTGATACCATGATATTCACCCGAATGGAGCTTTTTGATATTTGCATCCCCATCTTTTGCTTCTAGTTTCATTGTACTACTTGGAGTTGCAGTCTCAATAACTGCATGAGGATAAGCATTGGGTCGAGCTTCCCCTTGTCCATCTTCTTTCTTCAAACCAGGGATAGCAACAAACTCTTGCTTAATATCATCTGCTGCACATACTTCAGAGTGACTGGATGTCGTTGTCGAGTCTGAGCCAGAAGGTGTTGCTACTGAAGATCCTGAGGCAGTCCCAAAACAAACTAGGTCCTCTGCATGTGGAAGATTTAGGAGCGCACACGGGCCATACATAGCCTTTGCAGCTTCATCATATGCAAGTGCAGCTTCAACTGCAGTAGGGAAAGTGCCAAGCCACAGCCTACTTCCCCTGTTTGGCTCCCTAATCTCAGCAACCCATTTGCCCCATGTCCTCTGCCTAACACCTCTATAGTTGCACCTCGAATTCTCAGGTCCTCCTTTACCCTTCATACAACCTTTTTTTGATCCCTTTGCAGGAACTTTCCTTGCTGGTTTTCCACCATCACCACTAGCATCAAGGTGTTCATTATATTCTTTCCACTTCTTCAGAGTCTCAGCTACGCTAGTACCATCACGCCTGCTCCGGGACTTCCTCTTTCTGGAAGAGTCCACTGCAATAGAAGTCACGTTTGGAGCTTGATCAAAAGTACCCATGTTCTGAAATTCTGTATTTGATCAGATACCAACTTCCAACTTGATCAGTTTTCTCACTACCTGCAGCAGGTTAAGAAATTAAAACCCCATCAGAAACCCAGTAAAAGTACAAACCGTTGCAGACAAAATCACTTCCTCTCTAACTTCTTAAGGAAATCCGCAGCTGGGATTTTCTTAAGGAGCAAGCACGAAGAAATTTCTAATTTTAAGACAATTTTTCCAACGCCTACCAAGACAAGAGTTTCTTGAATTACAAGTAAACAAAAACTTTAAATTGTTTGAATTCCTAGAAATGATTCCCTGCAAAAAAAACCCTAACTGAACCCCAAATTTACATGTGCTAACACAATATAAAGCCCTAACTATTCAAGGAACCAATTCTCAGAGACATATCAAACCTTAACGGAACCACAAATTTACATGTACTAAAATCACAATATAAAGCCCTAACTGTTCAAGGACCCAGTTCTCAGTGACATATCAAAAGCAAAAATGGCCAAAACCCATCATTTCCTTTTTCCCGAATCTTCTTCTGCTAATAACAGCTAAAACCCTAATTACAAAATAAATCGGAAGAGACCCAAAGGAAGAAAAAAGGAACCCACACAAACCAACATAACAGAAAGAGGAAACCCCCCAAAATCAGAAAACTCACCATTAAACCAAAATTCCAGTAAATCCCATCTGAATAAACAAACGAATTACTCAATCAGAAAACAGAATCACATAAAAGATTGAGAAAGAAAGAAAGAACAATCAACCTACCCGTCGATACTCTCAGACGACATGAGAGAGCTGGGAAAGAACCCCTCAAATCGGATGCTCTCGATTGCTTCTGTTTTTTCTCCTATTTTCTGGTTTTCCACTGATATTTTCTCGAGAAGATCTTTTTCTTTTCTGTTTTTCTGTTAAGAGTAGAGTAGCAGACACAGAGGTAAAGAGAAAATCTTTTTAAGAAAAAGAGACGTAGGTGATATTTATAGCCTTCTCTAGATATTTCTGAATTTTTTTAATGGCGTTATAATTGATGACGTGGCAGTTTATAAGTAGTTTCACGCCGTTTGCCCTAATCCCAACTATATGACACGTGTCACCCGAACCTTCCCGAACCACAGGCTCGAAGTAGTCCAGCTTGTTGCTGGCCCCTTGTTTTCCTACATTGCTTTGCGCTGAAGAATTCCCGTTTTACCCCCCACTTTTCATCAAATTAATGTTTTTACCACTACCACTATAAGCGCGGCTGTTGCCAGCTAGGCCCGGAAAACTAAAAGGTCCGTGGCAGAAAAGTAAAAAAAGGGAAAACGGAGGGTTAGTTTTGTATTTTTGACCTTTTACATTAATTTAATATGTTTAAGACTATTGTGTTTATTAATGTTATAATTTATTAATTAAATTTAAAAAACTAAGCTATAAAAATATTTTGACTAATTGTAATTAACTAATTAATTTTAAAAATATAATAATATGATTTATTAAGCTATCAAAATTATTGTGAAAATGTAAAATTAACATTATTCTTAATCAAGAGATAAAAAAATCATTTAAAAATAAATAAAATTAGAGACATATTATATTATCTCAAGTTTAAAACAAATTTCATAAAATTAACTAACCTTAATTTAAAAATTAATAAATCGAATTGACTAAATCTCTTGGTAAATTAGTTCGGGTCTATTTAATTATAAAATTAAAAATTATTAACTAAAATTAAATAGAATTTAAAGAATATATTAAAATTTAATTAACAAAATTCTCTCTCAATTTCAAATTAATATTTTCCTTTAAATTTTTGTATGTTATTGTTTTGAAAAAAAAAAAAAAAGGTTATTACGTATTTGTTTAGGACACGTGTGCGCCAAACTGCTAACAAATTGCTTCTCGTGTTTTGCTCCGTCCCCATGGCCGAGAATCCTGCCTCCGTGTTTCGTCATCCTCATCGGAACATAGAATCCAACCGTTGCATGTCAGCCACGTGGTTTATGGATTTACCGACACGTCAGATAACGGCTGCGATTAACGTGGACGGCTAAGATGTCATCTCTGACATTCGTTAAAAGCTAAGTCTAGAAACGTGAACGTACGCGCGTACTACTAGCTGACGCCTGTAAGAGTGTAGAGTCTTGCAGTAACGTGTAAATTAGTTTAAATTCTAATTAATTTATTTTTATTATTTTTTAAAGTAAAATGACTCATGACTCCTTATCAATTTTATTTAATTAAATATAAATTTAAGTTAGGAAATTTATTTAAGTAAATGCAGAAATTCCTTCATCAAATTTTTATGGAATTCAAAAACTTAATTCCATAATATGTAAATTGAAAATTGTGGTTCACAATTATTTTAAAAATATTTTTTTTTTGAAAAAAAAAATTATTTCAAACAAGTTTTATAATTATTAAAAATTTACTGCAAAAAATATTTATATTTATTTGAAAAGAATAAAATATTGAAATAGAGTTAAATACTCCATATACATATATAATTGATTAAAAAAATTATTAAATCTATGTTGTAGATTAATATTAGTAAATAAAATTTGTTAAAGTAGTAGTCATGAATTTAAATACATATTTTTCATTAAAGAACTTTAAAACCCATATTTTCTTATACAACTAATAATAATCAAATAAATAAAAACATGAATTGCCATAATTTGTTTTGATTATTATAAAAATATTATATATGTGTATTGATATTGTTATTTATAAACTTGAATAAATAAAATAAAAACAAAAATACTTGATTTCAAAATTAATAAATAACTTCCAACTAGATAAACTTTGTATTTTTATACTGATTATACCTAAAGAACATTTTTTCAATAAATTAATCATCATATAATAATAATTAAATTGGGAGACCAAAATAATAATCAACTTTCTCGATCACTAAATACAATTTATTAGGGGGGAAAAAACATAAATACCTTAGTAAACTATGTTTATTGTGTTAAATTATTTTGAAATTCAAAGTTTAAAAATTAATCATAACATCTTAAATATTTTACCTAAATTTACAAATATTTTGGATGATTTAATTGAAATTTTGAATTAGAAATCAACAGCCCAATTAAGAAGAGAATCACATGACTGGATCAAGTCCTTGAACCTGTGACTGGAATTATTGGGTTAGGCCATTAGCTTTAAGCCCAACATGGGTCAAATAAATACTTCAATCATTATTTTGAAATTAATTTTATACGTATTTCAAGTTTAAACATTATTCAATTTTGATCAAATTTGTGTATTTTATTATTGTTTTAAGAAGTTATAGATTCATTTATATACATATTCCATGTAGTATATTATATATTTATTAAAATAATAAATATATTAAAACGGTATAAGAAAGTACATTTTTAAAATTACATTAGAGTAACGCAGAACTTAACTGTTATAATCTTGATATGTGAAATTTTATTCAATAACTTCTTTATTGCTAAAAAAAATTAATTCTCGTTGTATATTTCAATCTCATATCAAATATATAATTGTTGAATTTCATATAAAAATTTAAGTCATATATTATCAATAAAGATTGATAGTTTAGATTTAAAAAGTTATAACACAATAGGCACTTAAAATAATAATTTAAGTTTGTAATAGTTTAAGCCACAAAAAAAAAATATGCGATTATTGAGTTTCATAGAAGAGTTTAAGTTACATATTATCAATAATTTAAGCTTATACTTTTAAAAACTGATAGTTGAATTCAAAAAATTACTAGACAAGGGTGTATCACGTCAAAAAAAATATGTGATTCTTGAGTTTTATATAAAGTTTAAAGTCACGTATTATTAATAAGTTGAATTTAAACTTTTAAAGATAAATGGTTCAAATTCAAAAAATTATCAAACAATGATATCTCATATAAGAAAAATATGTAATTTTTGAGTTTTATATAAAAATTGAAGTAACGTATTATTGATAATTTGAGTTTAAATTTTTTTAAAATCGATAGTTTAAATTTAAAAAATTATTAGACAATAATGTTTAAAATAATAACTTGAGTTTATAAGAGTTTAAAGTCATGAAAAAAAGATGCGTGATTGTTGAGTTTCATATAAAAATTTAAATGATATATTCTCAAAACTTGAGTTTATACTTTTAAAGATTGATGATTGGATTTAAAAAATTTTAAACTGTGGTGTACCATATAAAAAAAATACGTGATTCTTGAATTTTGTATAAGTATTTAATTCATATATTATTAATAATTTAAATTTAAAATTTTAAAAATAGATGGTTTAAATTTAATAAATTATTAAACGGTAGTGTATCATATAAAAAAAAATATGTAATTTTTTAATTTCATACAAGAATTTAAGTTAATATTTTGAAATTATATTTTTAAAGAACATGGTTCACATTACACTCACGATTTTTTTATTCCTAAAAATCTAACTGAATTGCAAAGGTCTACGTAAAATATATATGATAAAATAAAATTGGTATTTGTAAGAGACCAAGAAGCTTTGGCAAATAAGGTTTGTTTGCTGAACTTGCCAACTGGACACCTGTGAATTCTCCTACAAAGTCTGAAATAGAACAAATGGCCACTGTTAATATCGACAATTACATATTTGGAGAAAATCAAGAAAATTTACAAGTACATACTTATATTTAGTCATATATATCGCAGCAGCCACGAACGCTATCAAATTTTAGCCAACTGGTTGGTAGATTTCTTCTCGTCAACAGAGAAAAAAAAGGGTTGATCAATGGCCGACTTGGAGATTAATCTGATGCTGAGAATTTTCGCAGCCACGACCATAGTCTTTGGGATTTCAACTGGCATCCCAAATATCAATATCTCACCCAGAAAAAGAAGGAAAATTTTCTTCTGGGTCTGGCTATTTCCGCGAATTGATAAGAAAAAACAAGAAAAGATTCAAAAACTCATGCCAGCTAATCTCCCACGGCATCATCAAACATCATCAAAAGCTCGAGATTTTTGGGGAAAGCAAGGCTCTTGCTGGTTCCAGGTACCGGTAACATGTAATGCGAATCTGGTTCTTCTTCAATCTGAAGAAACAAGATGTCTAGGGGCGAAGTCAATAATACACTGACATCAGTGTTGACTAACTGGGCGGAAAATTATTGTATAACATATGACAGAGGCATTTACAGATCAAATGGAATCTTTTATGGAGATGACCCTTTTCGTCATCTTCTTCCTGTTTTCATGGCTCAAATCATCATGGCATTCATCGTCTCTCGAACTCTCCACTTAATCCTCAGGCCATTGAATCAGCCGAGATTCGTGAGCGATGTGTTGGTATATATGCACTGTCATAATCCTTTTTAGCCTCATTTTATCTGTTGTTTTAATCCTCAGGCCATTGAATCAGCCGAGATTCGTGAGCGATGTGTTGGTATATATGCACTGTCATAATCCTTTTTAGCCTCATTTTATCTGTTGTTTTTTATTGGATGTGGTTGGGTTGCTCGCTACCTGTTTGTTGAGTTGCTTGTTAGAAGAAGACATGTTAAAAGAATGGTAGTTTTTAAGGTCTAACCTTCTGAAAAAAGAAACTGCAAGAATTCAACCAGACATATGCTAAAATTTGCAGGTTTTAGGTCCTACAGAAATTTCACATATATGGTTGGTTATTGAGATGCTGCGACTTGAAGGTTTTACAGGTTTTTTTTTTTGTTTTGTTTTGTTTAATCATGTTTAGATTATTACTACTACATGATCTTCCCCCGAAATCTTTTATTGATTCTTTTCTTCCTTTTTGGCATATATATAGTAATCAACCTGTCAAGCCAATGACAGGCTTTTTCATTAGTTTTGGTGGGTTAAGAAAATTTATATCAGTTTCTTGAAACATATTTCTAATCAATGAAGACATAGATGATTGGTAGACTTGAAGAATTAGAAAGTGAACTACCCACAAGGAGTTGATTGGTTTGCATTTCTAAACATAATGGAGAACTACAGATCATTAGACAGTACTTTTGCCATCTGTACTTCAAGCAAAGAAAATATGGACTCGAGTTAAAGCTGATAATTTTCTTTTCCAGGGTGGCATTGTCTTAGGACCTTCTGTTTTTGGGCAGAACCAGGTTTACATGAGCAAAATGTTTCCACCAGAAGAATTGGGTTTGTTCAATACGATGTCCGTGGTGGGTATGGTGTACTTCATTTTTATCACTACCTTGAAAATGGATACAACCATTTTGCTAAAGAAAGCAAAGAATTGTTGGATTATCAGTTTATCATGCCTTGCTATTCCTTACACGTTAATTGCTGTTCTCACTTCCAAGCTACATAGTGAGCTTGGATTTATTGGACCGCCCTTCAATTTCTTTTTAGCTGCTGGTTTAACAATGCCTCATCCTTCTTCTGTTGTTTATTCCATGGAAGAACTTAACTTGTCAACCTCTGAGTTGGGACAAACTGCTCTGGCTTGTGCAGTGCTTTGCCAGTTATTTGGATTTCTTTTTTTAGTTTTCTCGCTTATTATAGAGCAAAAATCATCCAAGAACTCGTATAAGACTGCACTTTCGTTGGTTGGATTCATACTTTTCACGCGCTATATTGTAAGGCCAGCAGTTGAATGGATCATAAGAGTAACACCAGAAGGGAAACCAGTGAAGAGAGTCTATGTTGTAGCGGTTTTGTTAGGAACCTTAGTTATGTCACTTATTAGTGACCTCATAGGTGTTTCATACATCACGGGTGCATTTCTTTTGGGACTAGTTGTACCAAATGGACCACCTCTCGGCACTACAGTAATAGAGAAATCTGAGCTCATGATCATGGAATTTTTTCAGCCTCTCTTATTTGTTCGCATGGGTTATCTTATGGATTTTACTACAATAAAGGACTGGAGGACTTTTACCACATTGCAGTTCATTGTTTTGATTGGCTATGCAGGGAAGATCTTCGGTATTTGTATGTATTCATATTTGTCAAGTAGTTGTAACCTTAGAAGTGCCTTCTTGCTTGGTTTGGTTTTGAACATAAGAGGTTCAATTGACCTTATCTTTTTTATCAGATGGCAGATCCGTAAGGTATAATTATATGAACACGTGTTGAAACTCTTATATTCTGTTTCTTTTGATTATATCCACACTCCTTTACAACTACGTGTTTCAATCTTATTCTGCTTATTCCAATTCTGCAGTTTATAGATGAGCCATCGTATTCTTCTTTTGTGCTGTCTGCTCTGGCCGTGAATGGAATTGTAACACCTTTGATAAAAATGCTGTACAACCCCAGCTTGAGACTCTACTCATCTGCTTCACTTAGACAAGCCACTCGATCACTCCAGACAACTCGAAGCACTGGCGAATTGCGAATTCTCGCATGTGTTCACAGCGAAGATGATGTCCATGGCATCATTTCTCTCCTTGAAGCGTCCAATCCTTCCGGCATTAGTCCGATATGCGTGTATGTCATCCACATGATTGAGCTCCTTCGTGGTGCAACACCAGTTTTTGCGCCTTACAAGAATCGAAATCAGGAGAAGAGGATTAGGTTGAGCTCCACTGATCACATCATGCGTGCCTTTTCAAATTACTCAGGGAACACTAATGGGCATGTCATGATGAGTCCCTTCAGGTTGGTTGCTTCATATAAGGGTATGCATGAGAATATTTGCAGATTAGTTGAAGATCAAGTGATTCCTTTGATTATAGTCCCTTTCCATAGAAGACAAAGGCGATTGTGCCACATCAACCTGCAAGAACACGGACCATGTACAATTGGGATTCTGGTAGACAAGGGCTTGTACCAGAGTGCAAGCCTAAGACGCCACTCTTTTAGGGTTGCAGTGCTGTTTCTTGGGGGAGCAGATGACCGTGAGGCATTAGCACTTGCTGCTCGCATGTTAGGCAACCCTAACCTGAGCATCACTTTAATTAAGATCAACTTGAAAGGGAGAGAGAAAGAGCAAAATGATTATGAGAGGTTGCTTGATCACATGTTGCTTAGAGAATTCAAGTCAAAGGGCCAACAAAGAATTGGCTTCAGGTATCAAAAGGAGGCAGTAGAGGACACTAGGCAAGTGTTTGATGCAATTCGTTCACTTCAGAACAACTATGACCTCTTTATTGTCGGTAAACACCATGCAGCCAGATGGCAGCTGGGTGAAGAAATTCTGCCATGGATCGAGTATCCAGAGCTTGGTGTTATCGGTGATATGATTACTTCACCAGATTTTCTTGGAGGTGAGATTTCTGTGCTGGTGATTCAACATTGTAAGGATTCTTCTGTAGATGTTGAAAACATGAGAATTCTAGAACATAACAAAAATCTAGCCTGTGTTCTCAATCTCTAGCTCATTAGAAATCCTATCCTAAACACTGTGTATAATAATAATTATAAGCGGAAGGATTCCAATTCTTCCATTTTCAGTGTCTAAAACATTGGAATCTTAGAATTAAGATACTAAACACGATTTTCTTCTCTACTTTCTTTCTCACAAGAAAGATTCTTCTTTCTTTCACACTACTAAACTACAACTTTTTATAGAATAAAATGATCTGGGTTTGGCTAAATTTGTTTTGGTGTATTACTTGAACCTTTTACTTTCCCATTGTCCATTGTTGGAAATCTTTTACTTAGTGAGTGTTGTTGTACCCACATTGACTCCTTTCAGATTAGCAATCACCTTTTACTTGAGATTTACTCTTTTGCGTTTCTATTCCTGAGACGCTTTACTTGAGATTTAGATACTTGCTGTTGGACTGATGATCAATTTCTAAAAGCTATACATTTTCCCGTGGTACATGCGTTTGAATCTTTTTCCTTCAAGAACAGATATAGGATGATTATAGCCTGAAACTGGTGAATTTCATGTTTATACTACTAAAAACTCTTGTCAATTTCATAGATTTGAAAGGAAAAGATAGTAGAGAAAAGCTTATAACATTAAGTATATGGGAAAAATACATGAATAATATAGTAGTGAAGAAACATGGAAAGGCTCCCATGGTACTATTCTCTCTAAACCCGTTTTTTATCTATCAAAAAGAAGAATGGAACATAACAAGAAGTAGATCCCCAAATGCAGGGAAAACAACTATACTCGAATTCATATAAGAATTAATAGACGAGAAAAAGAATTTGTGAACCTAGTTATTAGGTTTCATTATTTTATTTTTTCGGTGATGAAGATCATCCTAACAGATCGGCAAATCTGGTGGTGGTGCTTCTATAGATTGCAATTCTCCAACTCCATTCTCTACTAGGAAAGCCATGGCCAAACCCCAAGTGATATGAACATCTAAGTGACAATGCATTATCCACACACCTGTGAAGGGAAGGAAAAAAGAAAGAAGAATTGGTAAGTTTATTGATCAAAATAACAAATATAATTAGAAAATCATCAATAATTACCCGGATTGTCTGCAACAAATCTGATAACAGCCCATCCATTAACAGGAACTGCAACAGTGTTTCTGAGAGGTGGATCTATGAGGTTGAATTTAGCAGGGTCTTTTCTTGGATTAAAGTTTCCAAAACCTTCTGCAATGATGTAGAAATCATATCCGTGGAGATGAATAGGGTGATTTTCAGGTGTGACAATGCTAGTGTCCTGCAATACAATTTGCACTGTAGACCCATATTTAAGCTTATAGAGCTTAGTTCCTGGAACAGGTTGAAACAAAGATCGACTGACGTTGCCTGTGTAATCGAATTTCAGAGGCGGGTTTGGGGGAAAATCTGTAGTGAAAACTCCTGGAATTCCTTGATAGTGAGCCTGCAACAATGAGAAATTTGACGGTAAAACAAAAGACACATTGTTCATGCTGGATGTAAAACGAGTGCCATTAGGCCCTTGGCATCTGCTTGGCTTGAAGTTTTTGGGACAATTGTTGAGTCCTAAACCGATTGTGAAGAAGAGATTTTCGTCGATTTCTGTAGGGACTTCGACTCTTCTAGGAGATCTAAAGCTTCTGGAGAAGGTAGTAGCAGTATTTGTGTCGTTAAAAGCTGGAAGAGAAGCCATGATCGGAGTGCTCGATATGCCTTTCTTGGCTGGACAAGGAGCAGACTTATACTCGAGGATTGCCGTCGTGGTGGTGTTACCAAACGGTGCATTTTGTGCGCTTTGGTAGGCACGTGCAGCCATGTAATACCGGTTTGGTGGTTGGTCACCAGAGATCAAAACATCGGTGGTTTGCCCCGGGCCAAGCATTAGGACTGATGTGGTAAATGGCTTAGTGTAGGAGGCATCAGCACCCACCACGGTGAGCTTGTGGTTTGCGATGGAGAAGAAGAGTTCTTGGTTTAGGGCGGAGTTGACAACGCGGAGAAGATTGGTCTCTCCAGAGTCAATGGGAATTATGGTTGTGCCTGGCCAGTTTGGAAATTACATTTCAAATTTCAGTTATTACAGTAGGTTGAAGTAATTTTTTCTTTTGAAAATAAAATTTTTTTTAAGAAAAAAAAAAAAGCAAAAGAAAATTTACCTTTGCTTGAACATTTGTAAAGATCACCAGGCTGACCATTAATGGTGTACGCATCAGACACTTGTGGAGCTGCTCCTGTTCTGGTTGCTCTTCTCACAACATCAATAGGGTTACCATCCCACCATTCACCTACAAATAAATTCGTACATTTTATTAATTAACTAATACGGATATAATATATTAATAAATTCAAAAAATGGAATTTTATAATTTTTTATCGAAAAAAAATATATACTAATTATCCAATTGAAAAAAAAAAAAAAAGTGTAAAATTACCAAGAAGCAAAGTGGCTTGGCGGCGAGGAGTAGGAAAAGGGTAAGAAGAGCCATGTTTGGGATGGATGATAAGGGCACCGTAGACGGTGGCTCTGAGCCAAGAGCTGTGAGCATGCCACCAAAGGGTGCCTTCTTGACCTTGAATTGTGAACCGGTACGTGTAGCTGCTTCCTGGTCTGATAGGACACTGTGTCACAAATTCTGGACCATCTGCCCACCCAGTTCTCATCTGTCTCACACCATGCCTATACACACACACACACACAGAGACAACATAGTCAAAATTAAGTCAAAATTAATTATTTGGAGAAGTTAATGAAAACTGTCACAGACCTAAGGGACACGATATAAGTTGGTTTGATATAAAAATTATTAAAATGTGATTATTTTATAAAAATCATTAATTATTTGAGTATGAACATGCATAGATATGTGCATGCATGAGTATGCATATACAGTTCTTCATAAGGATTATATGTGTGTGTGTGGATATGAGTACCAGTGAATAGTGACATTGTAACGAGCTCTATTGGTGACTTTGATTACGAGGGTGTCTCCATTGTTGATCTCAAGCGTTGGTCCAGGGAACATGCCATTCACAGTGATTATGTTGTGGGTCTTGCACAGCCTCTTCACTGGTGTTGCTTGGACCTGTCCAATTCAATTCCAATATTAATTTTATAGCTTTTTCAATTCTTATAGTAACATTTTAATTGTACGCACACACACACAAATTAACATGCAAAATTAGAATTATGGGAAGAAAAAAAGAACTAACAAAGTAAACGTACAATGAAATCATGGTAGTGGGTCTTGACATTTGCCAACGAACCGTTAGCAAAGAGAAGCAAAAGGCACGAGATGAACAAGAACACAGAATTGCTCAAAAGGGTCTTCATGTCTAGATTACCCATTGAGCAAAACCAGTTAAAACTTAGTGGGGGAGGGGGATTTAATTCGTGTAATGCAAAAGGCAAAGGAGGGTGGTGGGGGGGGAAGGGGGAATTGGGAAGTCAGAGAAGTAGTGAACAAAAAATGGGAGGAGATGGGTGTTTTTATGGGGAGAAATTTGGAGCAAGAGAAAAGAGTTGTTTTGAGGTTGGCGGGATTAGGTTTTGATAATGGCCAGTTAGATTTAATTTTTCTCATTAGATGAAAAGGAAAACAAAATTAAAACTTTGATTTGAAACATTATGAGTTGTTGTACCCACTAACCCTATTAAAAGTGAAAATAATTTCATCAATATTGCTTGATTCACAAGTCTTTTTTTTTTTTTTTTTTTGTTCTTCTGGAGAGAGCAAAATTCTGAAAATGGGTTTAATTCCCCTTATAATTTCATAAGGGAAAAATTGAATTAAATTCTCATATGGGAAAAATTAGTTATATAAGTGTGTGTGTGTGTGTATTTTAGCTTATCATTTTGTGCTTGTTTGATTTCCAAATTGGAGATAAATGTAAGTTTTACTCTTAATTTACCCATAATTGTCTTTTACTTTGGTTTAGGAAAGTAATTAATCAAGAATATTAATAATCTAAGTAATGAAGACAAGTGCTAAATGGATAGAAAGAAACAATAATTTTCATAAATCTCCAAACAATTCATTTTAATATGGCAACTTTTAGCTTTTTATTAATGGTCATGGCTTCATAGTTATGTATATATATATATATATATATATATGTAACTTACTTGTTCATGCACTTTTCTCTTAATTAAACAAGGGGTTTCTTATATTTTCTCTTTAATATATATGTGTGTGTATAAGGCAATTCTTCTAGATGCAATGTTTATTTTAATCATAAGTATGAAAGTATGAATAAACTAAAATATAGATATAATGTGTGGCATGCATCTACGTATCTTCCTTTTGACTGCTGCTGCATAACAACTTTTTGGATATTCAACACCCTTGAAAAAGAATAAGATCACTTAGCATATACACTTATTATAAATCAACAATAAATTTTCAAATTTTGGTTGAAGGATACACATACTTAATTCAAACATAATCTATTCATTGGTATTTATATATATATATATATATGTATACATATATTTTTTAAAATCTTATATCTTATATATATATATATAATTGAAGATTTCCCATAATTTTTTATTTATAAAAAGTCATTTTATTTTACGGAATAAAATTCTAATGAAATAGTATTTTGTTCAAGTTTGTGTGAACTTGATATCAATGTTCTATCTATATGCTTACAATATTAATATAAGAGTTATATTTTTAATAAATAATTAAATTAAAATTTTAATTTATTCCGACTATTTTAATTAAAAGAACTTATAAATATTTGTTTAATCCAAAAATATAATAAATTTAATAAGATTTAATTTAATTTGATTACTACACTCTCACCAATACACTAACGAACTCAATTTTTAGTTTTACTAAATCAAACATTATAAAGTAATTACTGTTAACTCATAATATACTCATAAAATTATAAATTATATCTTCTTAATAATGTTTGAACTTTTAATTTTGAAGAACTAGTTTAGTCGGTAAAAAAATATATATATATATATATATATTGTAATTTTGACATATTAAGTTTTGATGTTTTTAGCTAAGGTAATATTTTAGAAGTAAAATATTATATGTATTATATTGATATAAGAGAATGATACATTAAAATCTTTGAAAAATTTAGTGTTAATGCACAAAAAAACAGATTTAAAAATACTCTAATTACTAAAAAAAAAAATTTATTTTGGTTCAAATGATATCTATATGTTTTTTTTTTCAACTAACATGAAAAATTAGCCTCTAAATTAATTATCCTCCAAGAAAATCAAATTTATTAATTAATTAATTTCGTTTATGAAATTATCAACAAACTCTGAAAACAAAATTCTATCATTTCTATTCAAAGATGACTTTTCCTAAGAATTGCATTAGTTGGAAGGATGGGAATTAAGTAGTGTTTGGAAGCCGAGAAAGTTGACAGAAGGCAAATAGCTTTTGCAGTAGCTCAACTTGATATATATTTTCCTTCCAATAATGAAAGTGGAAATTTTTTTTTTTTTTCTTTCCATAATTCCATAGATTCTCTGAAACATAAGTATTTCATGTAAGGGAAAAAAAAAAAAAAAAGTAATCATGAAGCAATTTGGTCCACTGCTTCAAACGATATATACATATATATACCCATATATATATATATACATATATCCAAATTTCTTGATAATTTCCAGTTAATAATTGGGATTTTATTGCATCCCCATAACTCTTTAAACCATAAATTAAGAATGGTGACGAAATCAATCTTCTTAATTTTTTTATATTAACACTATAAATTAACAAGTAATTATTCCTAAATTATTAATTATGCTTAAAAGAAAATTATATTTCATTATTAACTATAATTAAGAACTCAACCTATATATATATATATGTATGTATATATTATTCATTATTACCTTCAAGCTTCCATAACAGCGATGGTAATCGGTCAAACTTAACTAGATATGTATTGAGAAATAAAATGTTGATGAGCAAACACAACTTTCAAAAGAGATATAAGCTGTGAAGAAGTCAGAAAATTAGTTAGTTAGAATAATTATATGTATGTATAAAAATGCAAGCGGTCAAATCTATATATATATATATATATATATTAGTCTAGGTTAAATGTGGACTGAAGCAATCAAAAAGATATTATTATAAGTGCATATATAACTTAAGACTTTTCTTTAATTTGGTGGCAGATAATAATAATAATAATTATTATTATTATTATATTATGAATTATTAATTAAATATTGACATGAAAGTTGAAGATTTGATTGAATCTTAACAAATTTCCTAACAGCAAACCAAGTACTTAGATACTTCAATAGGTAGAATCCAATTGGACTTTAAAAATTATTATATATAACATATATATATATATATATATATATGAGTTAGGTGAATTGTGCTTTAGTAGAATTCTTAAAAAACATGAAGATGATCTCTTTGAAATATGTTGGCATGTTTGATGAACAACAAAAGAACCCATGTGTAAAATACCCACTTTAATTTATTAATTTTTTTTTTTTGCAATTAATTAAGTGGTGGGGAATTCCAATTGGGGAATTAGAATATAACATAAATTGTATTTTTATAAAAAGTAAAAATAGAAATTTAATTCTTTATTTTTTAAAAATAATTTAATATATTTTAAATATATTAAAATAAAATTAATATGATAGTTTAAATATATATTAAGATGATTTTTTTTTTCTTGCAAATAAAATCTATTTGGTGGACAAAATTAATTTCCTTGAAACATAAGGGAAAACGATTTAGTGTTGAAAGCAATTCAATTATGGCCTAAATATGTCTACAAGATAATAGGGATGTTTGCTGGGAAGACAAAATTCATGCTAAACAATATATATATATATATATATATATATATATTGTGTGTGTGTGTATCAACAAGGCACTAACTTTATAATCTCTTTAAATTTAAGCATCTGTCAACAAAAGAATTATAGAGAGAGCAAATATTAGAAGGCTTATGATTTTTTATCTTTTTATCTAAAATAAATTATAAGTATTCTATATGGGTACTCTATAATTATATATTTTTTGGAATTTTCCTAATAAAATTTCTTATTTTTTCCTTAATTTTTATGTGTTTAACCTTAAACTTCTATTTATTTATATTTAGAAAGGTAATGGGTGTAGACATAATCCAAAATATTAATGACTTGATGTAAAATAGTAAAAAAAAATTAGCTACAAAAACTGCATCTTTATATATATATATATATATATATATATATATATATATTGGTTGAATCCAATAAGATTAAACTGGGAGATAACACCAATTTTTTTCAGAAAAAAAAGTCTGAACAAAAAAAAAAAAAAGGGATTAGGATTAGATTGGTGAACAAGAATTAAAGAACAATTAACTAAGTTGGTGTAAGTTTGTTGTTGACTTTTTTTCTTAATAATTCTTTAGAAGGAAAAAAAACCAAGAAGGTCGTTATAAGTAATGCTAAAAGAAAGTTGCAAATTGAAAATGAAAGAAAAGATTGATTGAAGATCATGCAGAAGGTTCCTTGTCAAAGTTTTCTGGTTCTGCTTTCTAGGGGTTTCATTTTCATTAAGTGGTTATTGGTGGGTGAGAACTTCCCACCTTGTTAATTTCATTATTTCAATGGATCTAAGTCTGTGTGATGAAGATTTGAGTGATTTCATTTTGACCCATATAAATTTGAACTGTCAATTAAATTCATTCTTTTATGATCCATCACTTGGTATAATCTGAATTTTAAAGGATTCATGAAGAATATCTTGTTTGGTTAGCTGCTTATTCAACAAGGAATTGAAAATTTTACTGATAGAGGAAGTCTAACTGAGATACATTACTTTCATCTTGAAGAAAATATGAGGATAATCAATGAATCATTTCAAATAAAATTGTTTAATCTTGGCTTGTCAATCTCGGAAGAAGCTATCACAAATAACTTCATTAATCCAAAGCAAACTAGTGGTATTTACAGAGAGTTGAAATTATGGTAAGCAAAACTCAATATTCAAGAATGAAAGAATTGCAGTGTAAGAACAATTGAACTCCCCACTGCTCAATTTTCTTTCTTTCTAAATTCTAGTCACTTGTTGAAGCAACTCCAGCTCCATTATCACCAGAAGGCTCAGAGCTGAGGACTGGTGGTGTATCGGGTCTGATCTCTTGTAGCTGCTGAAGAACTTGCTGAACCTCTGGCCTTGAAGAAGGTGAAGGATCAACACAATGCAAGGCCAATTTCAATGTGTTAAGCAGCTCATCTCCGATTGTCGATGCATGTCTCATCAATTCCAGATCAAACACTTGATTAGTCCATTCTTCTTTCACTATGGAGGCAACCCATTGAGGCAAATCCAAGCCTCCATTCATTGAATCTGCAGGAGATTTCCCCGTTAATAGCTCTAGAATTATAACACCAAGGCTGTAAACATCGGTTTTCGTGTTGGCTTTCTTGAGCTTGGAAAGCTCTGGTGCTCTGTAGCCTAATGCACCTGATGTTGCGATCACGCTTGAATTGGCTGCGTCTGACATTAGGCGAGAGAGGCCATAGTCCGCTATTTTGGCAGTTGTGGCGTCATCAAGCAATACATTGCTTGATGTTAGGTTGCCATGAATGATGTTTTCATGGGTGTGGAGGTAGAACAAGCCTCTTGTCATGCCCTGTGCTATTCTCATTCTTGTTGGCCAATCAATTAGTGTTTCTGCTCCTCTAGCTACATTCAAATATAACATGGAATTTCAGCATATAAAATTTTAAAGAAGGTTTTGTATCCATCAACAGTGGTATTGTGTGAATCTACTCTTGAGAAACACAGTAAAAGAGTCGCTACAAAATATATATATATATTGCAGAAATAATTTAGAAATGCACTCAATGAAAGATATATCGTAAAATAAAAAATGAAGTTACGAATAAATGAATCCATTTGATGCAATATATGTACATACAATCAAGTCATGTTCTTCACTAACCAAGCCATGTTTTTTCTACCACTAACTTTTCCACTAACCAAGTTATGTTCCTTAATTTTTTGTCACTAACTTCTCTGTTAACCGTCATGTTCTCTGTCACTATTTTCTCCCTTATTCTTTACCACTAACTTCTCCCCATATAGTAGAAACAAACCCTAACATCTATTTTAACAAATCAAACTAAAAGAGACAATAAACTCAGATCAATAAATGCGACATACTGGCAGATGTTGTAACTTTAATATCAAAAATGAATAAAACTCTAAGTACTTACCATGGAGGAATGTGGCAAGACTCCCTTTGGGCATGTAATCAAAGACAAGGAGTTTCTCTCCCTTAGGCCCCAAGTAATAAGCCCTTAAAGCCAGAAGATTTGGGTGCCTAATTTTGCCAAGCAAATTCACTTCACTCTCAAATTCTTTCTGACCTTTCGTGATTTTTTCTCTCAATCTTTTCACTGCCACTTGATTGCCATCCTCCAATGTAGCCTTATACACAGTACCATAAGTACTTTTCCCCATAATCTCTGCTGTTGCACACAAAAGATCATCGGCTGTAAACGCCAATGGTCCGTCGAAATGGACTAGTTTCCCTCCACCTTCACCTCCTCCTTCCACTTCTCTGGCCCCCGGAGGCACCCCTTTCTGGGTCCCCACGGCAGCCCCTCTTGCTTCCCCATTTTTTGCTCTTGATGCTGCAGCCTTTTTCCTAATCAAGCAGCAGAGAAGAACAAGGAAAAGTATGAACAAAACAGTGAGTAGAGCACCAGCTGCAATGAGGATTATGTCTTTGGTGCTGAGTTTTCTATGGTGTTTCCTTGATTTCTCTGCTGGAAGAAAACTTGGAGGGGGTGCTGCAGATGGACATGGAGTTGAGCTACTGTATCCACAGAGCTGAAGATTACCCACAAAAGAACTTGAATTGAATTTCCTTGTGAGTGGTAAAGGAACAGGACCAGAGAGGTTATTGTAAGAGACATTTAAAAAACTGAGACTTTTTAAATTAGATATGGAATATGGGATTTCTCCGCTGAGATCATTTTGAGAGAAATCAAGCATTCTAAGAGTTGAAATGTTCCCTATACTTGAAGGAATTTCGCCATTAAATTGGTTTCTCCTCAAGTTGAGAACAGAAAGGTTGTGCAGTCTGTAAAGGAATTCTGGGATTTGGGTATCAAGCCTATTGCTTTCTAAGTTCAGAACAACAAGAGATGAAAGATTAGAGAGACTAACAGGCAAGCTTCCATTAATTGAGTTATTGGATAAGTCAAGAGTCCTAAGTCTAGAGAGTCTCCCTATACTATCTGGTATTGGTCCAGTTATCTGATTATGGCCAAAGGAGACCTCTCGAAGCTCACTTAACCTGCCCAGAGAAGCAGGAATTGTTCCAGAGATTGAATTGCGATCAAGGGATAAGTACTGAAGTTGAAAGAAAGTAGGATTGTTTTGTGTTGGACCCCAAGAGTCTGATAATGAACCAGAGAGGTTATTGCGTTGCAGAGCAAGAAAGATAAGAGAAGGAGAGCGAGAGAGACTAGAAGGGATCGAACCCGAAATCAAATTGAAGCTGAGATTGAGCCTGTAAAGCTTGGTGGAATTTGAAATGCTGTCTGGGATTTTCCCTGTGAGTAAATTGTTACTAAGATCAAGAGTTTGCAAAGCTGGAGAGAGGCCTAATGATGGTGGGATGGAACCTGAAAACCGGTTATTGAAGAGCTGTAGGCCTCTGAGATTAGGCAATAAACCCAAGGATTGAGGGATTTCACCACCAATGACATTGTCATGGAGACTGAGCTTTCTGAGAGCATGAAGTTGACCAATTTTCTCAGTTATTTTTCCTCCTAGGCCCTTCCATGGAAGCTGAATTACTATGACTTGACCTTGAGCGCACTTGATTCCAATCCACCCACCAGAGCAAGCTCCGTAACTACTGCCATTCCAGCTCCTTAAAAACCCTTTTGGATCAATAAGTTCACTCTTGAATTCTTGTAGAACTTCGAAGTCAGCTTCAGTGACTATAACACCATCCCATTCTGCACAAGAAGCTGGTTGAACACAGCAAATGAGCAGCTGAAGATAAAGGAAGAAATAGGCAAAAACCAAAACTTTATTCCATTTCTCCATCTTCTTGTTCCTATCAACGTCTCTTTCATTCAAAAACTCAAAAGGGTAGTCACAAAATCTAAAGAGAGTCACATTTTGACCCTCCATTGTAATAGGTAAAGCAAGAAATGAAATGGGTAAAAGGTAGAAGAAGCATAGAATAAGAACAAGAATGAAACAGGGAAAAGTTTAAACAAGGTGAGAGATTCAAAATGGGGTTTCTGTAAGAAAGATCAAACGTTGGAGCTTTCTCTGATGAATTTCACGTGAAGATCTATAGAGGGAGGGAAGGAGGGAGGAATCTTTCAATTTTCTATTAGGAGAGAGAGAGAAACCAGAGACAAAAATGTCAGGTGGGCACAAACAATAAGTGAACCAGAAAATTCTCTTTCTTCTCCCCTTCTTCTTCTTCCTTCCATCAAACCCAAAAAAAAAAAAAAAAGCACAACGGCTAGTTCCATTTTCTCTCTTTAATTTCCTTTTTTTTTTTCTTTTTCTTTTTCATTTTCAATTTTTTTTTTTTTATCTTATCGATGCACATTTGCATCAGTACTTGCTACCAGTTCTTTCATGTGTTTTGAGTCCGCTGGTGTGTTATTGCGCCAAACGCTCCTCTTCTAAAATACAACGGCTATGTTTCTGGTGTTTGTGGGTCCATAGAAAGTTAGGTTTTTTATTAAGAAAAACGATTAAAAGGAGAAAAAGATCAGATTTTTATTGCACAGTTTTTGTGGGTTTGTGGTAATAATAAACAAAGGGCATGGGAATGGGAGTGTTTGATTATGTAGAAATACGAGGTTAAAAGACGACATGATGACATATCTCTGTCTCATTTTGTCTTGACCACATACTTATACAGATTACTTAAATAATTAATTTTATATATTATTTAAATATTTTTATAATATATATATATTCATCTATTAAATAATAAAAATATAATAATTAACACAACAACAAATATTTGATTATTTTTACCCATCAAAATTTGTAATATCTTGATTTTAAATATTACTAATTTAATAATTTTTTAAAGTGAGTCAATAATTTAATAATTATATATTTTTAATATATAAATAGATATCATAATTTTTATCGCTTAAATTTTTTATTTTTATTATATAATTAAAAATTATAATTTAAAAACTTACAAAGTCTAAAATCTTATGATTAATTCATTAATTTTTTATGCTTCAATCATTAATTTTTAAAATATATTACAATATTTATCACTTAAATTTTTAATATTTTCGTTAATATCATACATAATATAAGAGTTCATAAAATTCAGAATCATAGCATTAGTTTATAGACCCAAATCATTGCTTCTTAAAATCTTAAGTTCAAATTATTGGTATTAGATAATTTTAATGTTCTTATACGAATTATAATTATATTTGCATCTCGAATTAAATTATAATTAGATTTGAATGACAATAAATTCAGAAAATAAAAATAAAAAATTACCGTTGTTGATTGCTTTTTGTCTCTGTACGGACCTTAAAAGTCTCAACAGAACAGGAAACCAACAAGAAGTCACCGTCGTCAATTAATCATGAACTCAGCCTGGGGTTAATCGTCGTCTTGTTGTGTCATGATCTGATCATCATCATGACATGCATGCATGGTTCATACGGCCATCATCATCTTTCAAATTTTTTGAATTCCCAACATTATAATTATATATATATAATTACAAAAGCCCATTGGAATGTGACCCATAAATACACACCCATGCATATTACAAAATAGTTTTTACTATTTTTTTAAAAATAAATTAATTAATCAAATAAAATCATAAAATTTTGTGACAATTCAATTGTGTAAGTTTTAAGTCAATAGCATTTTCATATTACAATTAAATGTTATATTTTTACAAATAAAAAAATATATTATGATTAATTAAAGATTTTATTTTATTGGCATTTAGAACTAAATTGAATCGGATTAAATTAGATTAAAATTGAAATGAAAAAAAAAAAGTCTAAAGTGAACTAAATTTAGCTGATAAAAAAATTTTAATTTTTAAATAAATTGTTTATATATTTAATATTTTAATTTTAAAGTTAGGAAAATAGATATATTATTCATGTGTTTAATATTTAAATATTCCATTTGTATAATATAAAAATTAATAAAAAGAATCTCATAAATTATTTAAGTTTTTATATTATTTGCGAGTTATTTGAAATTATGAGCCCTAATTCATTTAGCTCAAAATATAAAACATATTTGATCCTCATAAAATTGTAAGGATATAAAAAAAAATTGTCACATCTTATACTTAATGTACTTTTTTAAGTATATTTGACTTAAATTTTTATATTAAAAATTAAAATTTTAATAATATTAATAAATAATTATGCATGTTCTTATATTAATATATCTAAATCTTATTCTAACAATTAACGATATGATAGTTTAGTAGTAGTTTAAATTTAATTAAAGAAATAAAATTTGTTACTTTATAAATATATATTACGTATTATGGTAGTTGATTTATAAAATTTAATTTAATGAAAACAATAATTTAATTCATTAATATATTGTTGAGATTACAATGATCAAAATATTTATTTTTTATTTAAATATTAATATTTAAAATGTCATTAAAAATAAAAAATTTATTATTTTGTGAATATATATTATGAAGTATCAACGTTGATGTATAGTACTTAATTCAATAAAATTTAAATTTTATCTCATTAGTATATTGGTGAATTTATAATGATCAAATTAAATTGACTCTCAATAAGTATATTACGTTTTTTTTATATAAAAAAATATTTTATAGATGTTAGATTTCATTAATTGAATAATCACAATTAATTAAAAATTATATTTAACTTTTATCATAAAAAAAACCTTACCTAAATATATTATACATAAAAAATAAAAAATAAATAATTGAGATAAAACACATGTTTATCAAGTACATTAATCATTATGGGTTATAATCGTAGCTCCTAATCTAATTAGTTTTTGTAATAATTTCACTTAATTGAATTGGTAATAAGTAATAGTTAATATGTACATGAACTATATACTTAATTTAGTATGAATTAATGTAACACTCCGTTTTTTTTTTCCTTTTCACTTCTAATGGCGTAGTTAAAACAAAGTAATTTCATGATCAAATCAGTCATGCATATAGAAACACTATCATGATCTCTTATTCAAAGTCAAGATAAACCGTATAAATGAGACATCGCATAAAGTACAACCGTATACACTATCTACACTACTATTAGCTTTTACACACTCAATTCTGCCAAAAGAAAAAGAAAATCTTTATCATGTCACTCTATACACTAGGTTCGGACACTAGCAACTTCGATCAGGACTCCGTTCCTACATCATCTGTGAATAATAAAGAGTGAGTTCATATAACTCAGTACAGTAAAAATTAAGTTACATGTATGAGATGCAACAATATAAAACCCCATATTTCTACAGGTACTTCATTACTTAACCTAAGCCCTACCTTACTATCACCATGAGACTACTCAGGACTAAAGCTTACCCCGGTATTCTAACGATCATACATATCAAGGGTGACCGTCCCCTAAGGCTACCCCAAGCGTACCAACATTATCACCCATCACTAAAATTGGCGACCATCATCCACCTCTCGACCCCTAACAGGCCACACACGCACACCATTATCATTCTCTCTCGTCACCAACATCGGTGACCATCATCTACCTCTCGACCCCTAACGACCACACACACCCACAGTTATCATTCTCTCTTGTCACCAACATCGGCGACCATTATCTACCTCTCAACCCCTAACGTGCCACACACACACACAGTTATCATTCTCTCCTGTCACCAATATCGGCGACCCAGCCCCCTATCCGTCGGGATCTCCCGACTAACACCTCTATCGGTGACCAGCCTACTCCCTCTAGTCGTGACCACCATTGTCAGCGTCCCCCTATAGGGCACTCAATAACATTTAACAAGCAGACAACCGCAAATTCCCCTTGCCAACCACTAAATTACAGCAACCTATATGTAATTCCCACCGTACACA